AGTTTATAAACAATCCCTCTACCCCTCTACCCTCTACCCCCTAAATCCTAAATCTGAAACACGCAGACAATGCTAAGCTAATTATACTCAATTATATTCAGTGTATCAGCGTATGCCTCTATGCCTATGCGCTGTGGAGCCTCGAAATCATTGCAAATTAGCAGATATACCATGTACTATAATCCCTAACTATTATGCTAAACATCATGAAAAGCACGTGTTTTTAGGTATGTTCACGACTCCAGGCCCCAAAGCGCACCCTTCTGCAAATTTTAAACTTCATCGGTCGACCAGTCCGCTTGTCGAGTCCGGTTAGTCGGAGAACCGATCCGGTTTGCCGGTTGGCCGGTCCGGTTAATCGGTTAGCCGGTCCGGTTCACCGGTTGGCCGATCCGGTTCGCCGGTTAGCCGGTCCGGTTCGTCGGCTAGCCGATCCGGTTCGCCGGTTAGCCGGTCCGGTTCGTCGGCTAGCCGGTCCGGTTCGCCGGTTAGCCGATCCGGTCCGCCGGTTAGCCGGTCCGGTTCGTCGGTTAGCCGGTCCGGTTACTCGGTTCGCCGGTCCGGTTAGCCGGTCGGCCGGTCCGGTTAACCGTTTGGCCGGTCCGGTTCACCGGTTAGCTGTTTCATGAGCCGGTTAGCCGGTTCATCGCTCCGGTTAGCCGGTCAACCGGCTGACCGGCTAACCGGCTGACCGGAGGGGGGCGGGTGGACCGTTGCCGGTTCGCCGGTTCGCCGGTCCGGTTCGCCGGCTGACCCCATACTCGAAATTCTTGTGCGCAGTGGTATGGAGGTCTGGACCAAAGCCCGTTCTCGCGTGGAAGAACATCATGCCAGGCATCGGTAGTGAAATCTCCTTGAGAAAGCAGAGTGAGTGTGAGGCAACAGGAGCCCGGAGGCCATAGCGCAGCCGGCGCTCCGCTACCACAGCAAGGGAAAAGCAGCTAACCGGAACACAGCGCGCATTCTTTTCCTTCAGTGCGCCTTGGGTCATCCGGTAAGGTCGGCAGCGATCCTGCAAGGCACTGGAAGTCCTGGTCAAGACCGTTCACCAAACCCTCAGGACTATCCCTGCACAGGATCATTCTTCTCCATCTTAGGGCTTACGTGAGAAACTTGGCGGAAGTGGAAGCCTGAGCTTTCCTGTGGGTTCATCATCACCTTTAAGCTCCGCTAGCATGAAAAGGTAGCTGAGGTTTTTCAGGTAACAACACACAAAGGCACACCTCAGTACTCCTAAGCTGCAGCATACACTCCTTTTGGACCCACGCACATCAAGGTTTGAGCCCATGTATGTTGGCATAGCTCACACAAGAGATCACTGGGAAGTGCATTCTTAAGAGAACATGTTACATCTTCCTCTCTTCCTCTCTTCTCGGGCCTCATCAACTTGAAGAAGCGTCGGGCCGTGGACAGGTTCTTGGACAGGGACTCAAAGTGCTTGCCTCAAACAATCGTCTCGAACAAGAATTGTGGAAGCAAGCCACAAACGTCTCAAGGCTCTGGCCCCATTCATTGCCAGAACCTTCAGGAATCCAGGAATTGGAATTCCTCGTAAAAGAGTGACGGGTATGTTGACAAAATCCGAGAGCACCACGCAGCAAGAAGTAGGAGAGAAGTTTGGAGCCATACCTTAATGAAAAATAAGGCACCAAACGTTCAAAATCGCGTTTATGCCTGACCGTTGAGCACTCTGCTGAAGGATTTTCAAGAACTTCTCCCGCGTCTGCGCGCTGGAGAGAATCTTGTTTGCGGCCTGCAGGCCAAGAATCCATGCATCCATGCACAACCCTAGAAAAGCCGAGTCCTTCAAGTCCAGCTCCTTCTCCGAAAGGGGCAGCCTCACGGATGATGCAACATCTCCCGTGGTCCCACCGGACCCCCTCCCTCGGTTTGCCTGAAGTACACGGGCTCCTCACAAGGCAGCTCAGCAAGCTGCATACTGCGCCAAGCTTCGCAACGCAGCAGGCACCTTGCTTGCTGCTGAGCTTGATGTGCTTGCCATTGCCGTAGGCCTACGAAGGGTCTCTCCTTTTCATCCTAACCTCCTGATGTCTCGTGCCAGCTTGAGCCTAGCACTGCCAAGCACTGATTTCCGCAAGGCTGCAGCTGTCGCAGGCTGTCGCAGGCTGTCGCAAGTACGGTCCACTTTTGGAGCAGCTGAGTTCCGCCCTGGAAGCTGTTCTGGAAGCCGCTTTCGGCCTGACATCTCCTAGGACCTAGGACTCGTCCCATGTCAAAACGCGGGACGAGCTCATGCCTGCGATCACAGCAGATCACAGCTTCAACCTCACAATAAACGGATGCAATCTGAGGCGCCGTGTAGATCAGCTCATACTCGCGTGTGATCGCCTGTTCAAAGACACTGTGTCGCTTCGTGTGAGAGAGAGCTCTGGCGAAACGCTGTCTGTCTTAGGAGGAGTGCCTCGGTGCAGTCGACCAGCAACCTGTCGAGACAGGGAGGGAGCAGTAATGAAGTCTGCGCTTCGCTCACGCTTCGCTCATTGGGCGTGCCCGGCGGGTTGGTCGTTGCTCGACAGCAGCTGCTTTGCACGGTGGAGCCGCTGATCTTGGCAGAGCTGCAAGTCCTCCCAAACAAGGCAAATGACTAGCTCTCATCATGTCGATGGCAACATTAACTGTTAAGCATCAGTGGGCTTGTGTGGTCAGGTTGCGGATATGCTTCAAAAAATGGCTCTTTGTGGTTTTGGTCTATTTTGGGGGATGTTTCCTGAACCTCCCCTCCCTCTAGTACGTGGGCTGTCTCAAACGGCACATGCCTATGTCAACGGGACTTTGGCCTTCTTGGCAAAGTGGTTGGCGCAGGCCAAGCAAACACACCTGAGCCATCTGAGCCATCTGATCTAGCCAAGGGGCCCGGCCAAGGATTACAGAACGTTGCAGAACAGCAACCCATCACAGCACCCTTGCTTTTTCCACAGTTGTACTTGGAGGGTGGGTGGTCCTTGGAAGCAGGGTAGGGTAGGGAGGGTATGGCGGGTAGGGGAGTACCTGCACCACCCTACAAACAAATCCAGAAACATTTGGAAATTCTTCAGAGGTCCATTGGGCAATACGGATCACGAACAAGATTCTGAGCTACGTGGTACCGTGGTGCGATGGCCGATGATGGCCGCAGTACTGTTTGTATTGCTTGGGGTTGTACCAAAACCTCAGGCTCCCGGCCACATCGCGAAGCAGGGAATGCTGACCAGGAAGTAGAAGGCAGCAAGGTACATCTACCGAATTCAGAAAGATTCAGAGAGAGTGTCAGGGCACATGCACATCCCCGACATCCCCGCCTCGGGCAGTTGGGCGAAGCGGAGGTGGTAGAGGAGATACAGGGATGCCTCATGATGGAATTCATGGGATATCCCCGAAAGCTCTGGGAACCGGCTTTCAAGCACTTAGCCAATGACCAACTGGAAGACGGTTAGCAAGCCGTAGATGAGATTCACAAACCCCTCCAACAAGGTACAGCGGAAGCCATCACCAGCTTTTTTGAATCCGGCCTGCGCATGCTTGGCCCTCCTCAGAGACGACGAGATGCACAGGCGTACAAAGTACGCAATAAGCTGAACACATTTTGGGAGCACAGCTCTGTCTGGAAGACTGTGAAGAGCGAGCAAACAACGATCGGGATGGACGCACAGGTCCCCAGCCTCAGCAAGTATTCAAGCGGCTGATGGCAGCCGCATGTGGAAAACCACGTGAACGACCCGAGCATTGCAACCGGGTTCAGGGTGATCAGTTCCTGGAGTTGCAGAGTGATCGATTGTCTTAATTGTTGCTGTGAAAACACATATTGCAACTTGCTGGCCTTGAGGAGCACTGGCGCAGGGTCTTCAACCACAGAAGGGACCGCAGTCACAGGGCGTCCCTGCATAGAAAAATCAGCAGCTCAGCATGCGCTCAGCTGCTGTCACCGAGCCTCAAGGCCACGTGAGCTGCGCTGGTCGAGCACAAGGCGCTCATCAGCCACCTGGCGCTCTTTGCTTTGCTTTCTTCCACTTGACTTGCTCGATCTTGGCCTGCATTGCAAAGAGATACCGCACAAGCACCGCTGGGATGAGCGTGTGACAACACCTCCCGAGGGGCAGCGGGAGGCTCTAGTCCTAGGCTTTTTTGCCGACAGTTTCTGGAAAAGTAAGTAAAGTGTACCGACCGGTCTGCTGCTTGGCTTCATGTTCAAACATTAAGTGACTGCATCCTTGCAGCATCCTCACCATGGTCCAAGTGCTACATGGTGCAAAGGCAACAACTTGTCTGGTACGTAAACGGCACCACTTGGTCTGCTGACATGTTAATTTACAGATGGCAATGCCAGGCCCAGTACGAACTGCCTATTGACTCTGTTCGAAGCTGGCAAGGGAGATCTGGGAGGAGGTGATGGTTCCCAACTTACAAGCATGCTCACCAGCGACCTACGGGCAGTGGAAGGAAGATTGATGCCGAGAGGCGCAAAGTAGTAGAAGGGATGGATGAGCTGAATCCTGGCAAGCGTGGATCCTGTGCCTTCACAAGTCGTGTACAGTGAGCGCAGGGGCACATGAAGAGCAGCTGAAGACAGTCCAGGAGCCTAGAAGGACTTGAAGAAGGCGTTGCATACGTGGCATGCTTCGCTGTTGGGGCCCGGCCAGAGGAGCATCCAAAGAGGCAGCAGAAAGAGGCAGGGCCTCGAAGTGAGTTGTGAAGCGCGAAGCCTCCTTCTTTTACCGACTCCCAGGATGAACTAAGCCCAGGCGCTTTAAGAGGAACTGCCGGAAGAGCCTCGAGTCGTGAAGCGAATGACTTTTGTTTTGAGCCGACTCCGACGCAGTGTCCCGGAGCGCAGTGTGTTTCTCACTGTGGCTCCGGCTGCTGTCGGGGCCTGCGGCGGAAAAAAGACAACAATCATCACGCGTCGCTATGCGTCGCTGTAGTACACTGTGGTTGCCGCTGAATGCTTAGTGCTTCCTGCCTTTCTTCGTGGGGCTGCACCAGCAGAACAGGTAGCAAGGTCACCCTCAGCGGCAAGCACAGCCGCAAGCACAGCCCCG